CTGATGTGGCCACTGTACTAGTTCTTCGTAATCAGAATTCTCATGAAGATGTTTTACAAGTGTTAATGTACAAAGAAGGATAGAGAACAGGAAACGTACTTATATCAGCATCTTCAGGGATATTTACAGTTATGTCTTCTGTATTTGAAATTAACGAAAAAGCCTCTTCCAGCTCTTTCTGTTATTCTCATACACCAGTTTGTGCCAGGCTTCCATCCAGCCACATTAGCACAAAGGTGGATGAGATCTGCATTTTATCTACCTGGTGACCCACTTAATACTGCTACCTGTGCACTGCAGGCTTTTCTCAGAGAACTCACAATAGTGATAGCACGAGTTAGCATCGGGTCATCTGCAGAATCCTTATTTCCAGATCACTTTTTATCTGGTTATTGAAATTTGAGGGCTCCACACAGCGAAATCTCTATTTAACTCTTCAGGTAGCCACCTGAAGAATGACACAAATGTAATTTGCTTTGTTTCCGGCAGCTTGAAGATCACGAGTATAAACCTTTAGATCCCAAAGACATACGTCTTCCACCTCCGATGCCCCCCAGTGAGAGACTCCTGGCTGCGGTTGAGGCATTTTATAGTCCGCCGTCTCATGACAGGCCTAGAAACAGGTAAGAGTAGATGTGATGTAGCCAATAAAATGGTAAGGAAAATGCCTTAGGAAGGTGTCTCAAACCACAAAGTGCCTCCCTCTCTTGCCTGCATCTGGTTCTCCTAATGCACTTGTTGCATTGCAACTGTAGTTGCCATTTGATCTTGTACTGAGTTTTGTGAGACGGCTTTGCCCAGACCCTTCGTTCTGTACAAAATCTGGTGAAAATCCTTAAGGTCGCCGCTGAAGTGGAATTTACACACGGGGGTTCTGTGTGGTTGATTTGTTGCAGTGAAGGATGGGAGCAGAATGGACTGTACGAATTCTTCAGAGCAAAAATGAGAGCAAGGAGGAGGAAGGGTCAGGAGAAGAGAAACAGGTGAGAGTTCCCATGTTCTGCCACCTTCTGCTTTGAGCTGTTCATTTGGAAGGTGCTTGGGCTAAATGCAGAGGGAAAGTCTACTCAGCAACATGCTGATGGAATAAGTGAGTTTCAATGTGCTGGAGTTTCTGTCTGATCTGCAAAAAACAGAACTGGTACAAGTTGCCCAGAGAAGCTGTGGCTGCCCCATCCCTGGAAGTGCGCAAGGCCAGGGGCATGGAGCAATCTCGTCTGGAGGAAGGTGTCCCTGCCCGATGGCAGGGATTGGAACCAGATGAGCTTTAAGGCCCCTTCCGACCCAAACCGCTTTGTGATTCTGTGAAACAGTTTTTCACACTCGAGCTTTCACTTTCTCTGCAGAAGTAGTGCTTGTGTGTAATTTGAATTTGATCGGGAGTAGATTTGTGTTTCTGATGCTTTTCCGTGGAATCTCACTGGAGTTTCTCTGCTCGTCTGTGCAGTGGGCCTTCTCGATCTCGCAGTCGGTCTAAAAGCCGAGGTCGTTCGTCTTCCCGGTCTCATTCACGATCTTCAAAGTCATCTGGCTCCTACTCGAGATCACGCTCTCGCTCTTGCTCTCGATCGCGATCCTATTCTCGCTCACAGTCCAGGTAGGGCACGGGGAGGGGGGCTGAACCTTGGGAACTGGGGAATAGGAAAAACCCGACCCTCCAGGCTGATCCAAGGAACTGCGGGGGTTGCTCTGGTAACTGGCGTGCTCTCCCTTTCAGAAGCCGGAGCAGGTCCCGCTCCTCTCACAGCCGATCGCGGTCTCGGTCACGGTCTCGATCCAAATCGTACTCCCCGGGAAGGCGGCGCCGTTCCCGCTCTCGCAGCCCCACTCCTCCGTAAGTTTTGGGTTGGTCCCATCTCCTTCTACCTGGGCTGGTTGAATGGAGCGCCTGCAGGGGCACTGCCTCGTTACCAGGGGACAATAAGCGTTTCAACAAAGAATGGAAAAGATGATGGAGAGCAGGTTTAGAAACAATTTATCTGCTACATGTGCTTATAGAGAGAATATTACTCCTTTGTGGTGGCTTTTTATTCTTACAAAATGTAATCTAATGGCTTTAATAAAGAATAGCTTAGTAGAGTGGATGGAATCGTGTTGGATGTTAATGCTTAACAGAATAGCACTGACAATGCTTTGTGTCAGAGTAGTATCACCGGTTCCTAATTTGTTCTTCTTATTTTCTTAGCTCTTCTGCTGGTTTGGGCTCCAGTTCTGGGCCTCCTATACCAGAATCGAGACTCGGAGAAGAAAATAAAGGCCATCAAATGCTAGTGAAGATGGGTAAGATGCTGCTCTAGAATCTTACGCGAGCCAGGGAACAATATTAGATGCCAAAGTCTTAGATATAATTAATTAATGCATGTTCATAAGGAATTATTCCTTGGATTCCAAGGTCAGCGTAAGAATATTCAGAGATCTAAGTATGTAGAGCAGTGATAGTTGCCTTTCTGGGAAAGATACAGAAGACAGGGACACGAGTTTGGCATCAGATAGAACTGACCCTACCTGAGGTATTACATCTCCCTGCAGTGCAGGTCAGCAGGGTCGACCTGACAGATGGGGCTTGCACTGCCTTTCTTCTTACCCTCCTAATGGTTTTTAGGAATAGCGCTGCCGTTAGCTCCTAGCATGTCTGCGTACGAATGCTTGTGAAATAAATGGGATGGTTCACATGTTGTTTCAGGTTGTCTGTTCCCATCCTGCTTTATCAAACTGATGCTGTCTTTGGTTGTTTCCAAAATGTCCACCTTTGTCTTCACAATTCTAGTAATAAAAATAAAACACTGTGAAAGGATTGCAATGTTGTGTCCTTGCTCTGCAGGATGGAGTGGATCTGGTGGACTGGGAGCCAAGGAACAAGGAATTCAGGATCCAATTAAAGGAGGCGATATCCGAGACAAATGGGATCAGTACAAAGGAGTGGGAGTTGCTTTGGATGACCCTTACGAAAACTACCGAAGAAATAAAAGTTACTCGTTTATCGCACGCATGAAGGCCAGGGATGAATGTAAGTGAATGTTTCTCATCAATTTAGAAACCTCTATGGACTTGAGAGTGATTTTTGTAAACCCAAATCAAAGTATTGGTAACTCTTTCTAATATAACTAATACAGTGAAACAACAGGTAAGTGGACACGTACTCTGATTAACCCAGCGGGTTTTCCTTTTTAGGCATTGTGCTGCGTTCTAATTTCTGAAATGTTAACTAATTAGCGTGTTCTGTGTAAGCCGCTTCCTGGCTGCGATACTGAGCCCCCATGTCTTTGAATGTTGCCCCACAAAAACTCGGAGCAGTCGCAAAGTTAGCGGAGGGGGAGCTGTGCCACACAAGGGATGGCTGCCGCAGCAGGGAGCTCTTCCTGGCTGGTGTCATGTTAGACTACACTTACTGTGTACACTCCTGCCCTATTCAGAGTTTCCTGCCGTTAGTCCCGTGTTCTGCCAAAGCCAGAACTGGTAATAAATTCCCTGTAGTGCAGGAAGGGTTCAGAAAAAGTGGAGGTGTTTATAAGAGGTGAAGACAGTTACCCAAATGATGGATTTTTGTAGAGAGTCTGTGATACATTGAACATCAGCACTTGCCAACAGCTAGAAGGAAAAAGCTGGCATGCTCAGCGAAATGTCACTTCTGCCTCCAGCTCTGTGCAATCAAATAGGTTCAAATAAAGCCCCATAAGGAAAAATTCCTTATTGACAGAACCCTCTTTCCATAAAACATTTCAGACAGCTTAGGTAGTGACTGCAGAATGTGTAAGAACTCTTCTTCCTATTGTTTCAGTGAAGCGTGAAACACAAGACCCTCCACCACCCGAATAAGACTCTGAAGAAAGATGTCTTGCATCTTCTGCAAAACATTAAACTTGTAGAAATCCGGATTAAAGTCTGGAGGAAGTGACAAATTAATTTTAAAACTATGGTGAAAAATGGAAAGCTATGACATGTACTTCAACACTTGTCAATTAGTGCTTAAAAAAGGCCAGTTGTTACTATGACATGTCTAGCAAGTTTAAAAATTTCCATTTATCTTGCAAAACTTTCTAATTAGTTCCCCATTTTATAGTAGAATTAAACCCCCTTCAAGCTCTTCCTGGTGCAGGACTGTGCCTCATTCATTCCCGTGGAATACAGACATTATCTGATGTGCTTGTATGTTCTCTAGTTCCATAATGTATGTTTATTTCTCTCAAAAGGTTAATTCTATTTGAAGTGGAGGGGTGCTGCCTTGGGATCAAGTCAGACTGATGCTGAGCAGTGTATCCTAATGTCTAAATGGGGAATGAAGCATCTAGTTCCAGTGCAGGTGACCTCTGAGCACTGTGCGAGCTTTTAGAACCTTCCACCCACCACCAGGCCCCGCCCAGCAGCTGCTGCAGCCGCCACTCGGGGCAGGACGCAAGGGTCAGTTCTCCGGTAGCTTTCCCAGCACTCTGAGGGATGAGCAATGCTTTGTAATGGAACACAGTCTTTGAGCTTTTTATATTTTTGTATATACCCTTCAATAAAAGCCAATTAGTTCATTAGAAGAGAATCCATTTTCTCTGCTCTACACGTTTCTATCAACCAGATGTCCTCGCAAACTTGCTGTAATCTAAATGAAAAAAGAAACAAACCTTTTGTAACTGTTTCCAGAGACCACCGGCTAGAGCTGTTTGGCCCTTGCACTGCACTTCCGCTCCCCGGGTCTGCGTGGTGGTTCCCTTTTCCAGTCACTTGTTTGTAGAGCAAAAACCCTCTTAAAATCATTCAGTTAATATGGTGGAATATCAGTTTATTCTAGATCTGCTGTAGTTGTGGAATTGTACCTGTCCATGAATCGGCGTACAACACCTGTATGTTACCAACTTGTGAATGTTGTTGTTTTGCTTTCCAATAAACAATTTTTTTTTTAAATAAAAAGACAGCTGAGATTTCAGAGTAAGTGGATTCCTGGACCTTCATTATAAGCTTCCCTTGTTTTGAATTTATCTTAATAAACGCACCCAAGCGTGTGTGTGGGCTTGTTGTAATCTGACAAGGCTGATTATATAGAAACACTGTTTGGATAATGGCAGGATATGGTTATTTTCTACTGTGGTCATATTTCTCAGGGGCTGTAGTACAGACTTTCATTTCTACCACGATCATAGATGCGGTCACGGATCTGACAATTCACGGGATAAGCGTGTGCATCGTGATGACTTATCACGGTCCCATTAGACACACGTGTTATCTCAATGTCTCTTTTGCGGACGTAGTCTCGCTGCGTATCCCTGTATTGTGCACGTGAGTAAAACTTTCAGGTATAGAAAAGTAAATGATATATAACAATTAGCAACTTGTACTAACTCATTTTTACTCAATAGCAGTTTGTACATATAATTTCAATACAGTTTATAACCTTTTGCCTGTACAACTTGGAAAAGTTTCTTATTTCAGCCTTAGAGCTGTAAATATAAATGTCACTTGAAGTTGAATAACTGCCCAAGCAGTTACTTCTCCTGGGCTCTCTGAATTTCTTCAAGCGCTTGCTCAATTGTTAGAGGTGGGGATTTGTGATTCTTGATGTACTGGGGAAAAAAAAAAACCACAAAAAGTTAATCAACTACTGTCTTAATTATGTAGATTATTATTTACTAAGCAGTAGAAAGCAACGTCAAGATATATGCATGTTTCTGTACTGCTCACTTGAGTACAGCTAAATGCTACAACAGGAACCTTAATCTTTTAAAAACTACGGCCTCCAGCAGGACTTGAGTCTTTTTTTTCCCTTTAAACTTATTCATTGATCATATGCAAAGAAACTGGGTTCACAGCAAATACCACAAGCATTTGGAAAGGAATATACACTCAGTCTCTGGTTTGTCATAAATACCTCTTTAGCCTCTTCCAGGGTATGGTAGTGGAACTTCTCATGCTCTAATGACTCCACGAGGGATGTGTGAAGGTGGTGAACATTCTCAACAAACTGCTGGGTCAGCATCACGTGCTGCTTGCACAGGGCATGTAAAACGAGAACTGAGGGGCTGTACGCGGTCAGGGCTGCAAGAAAGGGACGGGACGTACTGCGGTGAGGCACAGCCGGCAGCAAGGGCTGAACAAACCAAGCCAGATTTAGGTGCAGAAAATAGAGTAAAAAAGAATAATAAATGTGTTTTTGGTACCTTCTACTGAATCCATGCTGATCACGTGACTGGCAATTGGTACTGGATCGATGTAGCTGGTTCCAACAGATGGGGTGAGCACTGCAGAGGGGTTTGCTGTGCATAGGAGATAGCATCAGAATTACTGGGTGGGGAGAGTGGAAAGGCTTAGTGCTACTGCTTAGTTCTTCAGCAGTTTCTTGGGACAGCAGCTGCCCTAAGACCACTGCACAGCCTAACAGGAGAATTCTGTCAGCCAAAAAAATGCTGAGATAGTTATAGAACTTCCACAGTTTCTTTACTCTCAGGCTCACAACACCATTGCAGAAGGGACCTTTTCTAACCCTAGGCACAGTACAAATAAAGACTTTCGTACTCGATGCTTTGGTTTTCAAGCACACTAAAGTTTCTACTTCCTCCTTGAGTGTGGCAAGGAATAATGGCTCTTAGTGCTTTTTCCTTTAAGTAAAGAGACGTAGGCAGGGAGCTACCCCTCAGGATGTGAAAGCTCATATCTGATCCTGTCATGGGGCCATAATGCTTTCCCAAGAGAGAAGTTAAATGCAAAAGAACTCTATGAATGAGCAATCACTTCAGTAACGGGACAATGCTATTATTTACGATAGTAAAGATAGCAGAATGTTGAATTTCATTTGAAAGTACTACTCGTGCTATTGTGAGCTCTGTCGCTAACACTTGCTCATCCAGCCTTAGGTCCTGTGCAGAGTATTTTTAAGCAAAAAAAGATTTCTTACTATGATATTCAATCCCAGTCTTTTCTGTAGACAGCAGATCAAAGTGTTGGGCTTTGGAAAATTTTTTTATTTAGCACCAGTGAGTGTAAGCTGGCACTCAAGTGAAGAAGTCTATCGAGGCTGACTGCACTGGCATACATAAAAGTGTAAAACTTGCCCGACTAGGCCGGTAACTGCTGAACTCACCCTTCGCCCAGCAGTAGGTGAATGGAGGCTCTATTGTCTGAACCGCGGTTTCTGTGACGGTCACTTGGTGCCTCCGGTTGTGCTGCTCTTGGGTAGCCCACGAGGATGACGCTGAAGACGGGCATACTCCAGAACATGAGCAGCTCTCAGAATGCCCCTCTACAGATTCCCGGTCTGTTGTAGACAGAGACCTTTCAAAGTCTTCAGAATATTCTGAATTAAGAGTTCTCTCATTCTGATTAAGATAATCCTGTTTGCGTGGAGGAAAATGTGAGGAAACTCCACTTAAATGTTCACAGATTTCAGCTTCAGAGATGCATTTTTCAACTTCCTCTTCCTTCTCTGTGAGTGAAGAATCACTCACAACAGTCACTGCACTGGTCATTTTAAGAGCGGGCTGGTCCTCTTCCACCAGCAATGCATCTTTTTTCACATATTTGTTTGATTCTTGAGTAAACCAAATGTCCTTTCCCTGTAAAAGTATTTATTTTAGAACCTCCACACTCCACCAAACAAAGGCAGACTAGGAATATGTGCTAGTGGGGATTTTCTACTTACTTTGTGCTTTAATTCTGCTGCCTTACTGGAAGGATCTGGTGCCAAATCATCAAGGCTCAGGATATTCAGTCTGACATCTGCAAACAAATGACACCTACTCGTGAGAACTTGTATGAAAATTACAGTATGCTTTCCCTAAGTGAGAAAAGTGGGGGGAAAAAAATCAGTACTAACTGAAGTACTACAAGTACCTAACTACTAGTTTAGTATTAAAAAGTAACAGCAATCAGTCACTGATTCTTTAGCTTGGCAGGAACTCCTAAAATTTCCTCCTTTGATCTGCTGACATTCCTGAAGTTCAGGAGGTTTTTGTTGCCCCTCATTTCCAGCTGTTCTCACTCCGACCCACAGATCGGTACATTGTGCCACTGATACACGAAAACTACTCTGAATGTTCTAATTGTTTTGACATCGTAATGTCACCCAGGGCAGCATCATTAATCTGAACCCATTACAGTTATAAGAAATATACAAACCTATTACACTAGAAAAAAGAAACAGATTGAGATAATGACTTTGATCAGGCCTTGGTTTGTGTAAAATTTCACCAGTGAATCCTTTAAAAGTGACTTATTTGCCCATGTTTATTAAGAGAGTTTATCAGGAGGTTATCAGTACAATTCATACTGAGATGGTATTTTAGAAAACTTACGTTTCAAGCTGCTGCTGGTTGAATCTTCTGCATCAGCTCCTTTAGAAAATAATTCATCCAACGACTTTATGTCGCTTCTGTCACTTTCAAGGGATTCTTGGATTTGCTTGGTGTAGCCTGCTTTAGGCAGAGCAATCTTTACGGTGTTGTCTTTTATGGAAGGCGAAAGCAATCGAGATCTCATGGTATGTCCTGACAGGTTTCTGCTGGCGGGCAAAGGTGCTGGTGAATTAACTCTACCAAACACACTTTTCTCTGAGTCTTTGTTGTGAATAGAAGATGCTTGAGATAACTCTGCTGGTGAAACCTCCTTGCAAGGTGGAGGAGCCCTTCCTGATGGAACTGGAGTCTTGCTCTTTTTGAAGAACGTGACAAAGAGATTTATGTGTTACTCCACTGTTATGTGTAGATTGCAAAAGGGAGAACAAATCATTGTGGGTAAAACAGACTAATGTTAAGATGTGAATCTGAATTGTATCATGAGTGAGACACAAATGCAAATTTAAAATTTAGTTCCTGGTGTTAGCTAAATAAAACCAATTAAAACAATTATATAAAAGCATTAATAAAGAGACATAATCCAGCAAAGTTTGTATTTACCTTTCTACCACACTGAGCATCACTTTCCAGAACTTCCTGATTCCCATTTCCAGTAGAAAACCCCAAAGAGCTCTTCATCAATTCTCTCATTTCCTCTTCATCGCTATCCAGATTAAGCTGTTGTTTAACCATAACATTCCTTTTAGGGCTTTGAATGCTTTCCTCGTCCTCAGAACAGGCATCCCTGCGGGTCCCATTCCCGCTGCTGGTACCGTAATTCTTCCGGTACTTCTTGCCCCTGGCACCGCCTTCATGCTCAGAGGCAGATGAGGTGCACTCCTCAGCCAAAGGCTTCGGGCCCGAGTCGGTGGTCTGCAATTCCAGGTACTTTTTTCGGCCCATAATTTTGCTTTCTAGTTGCGCCACTTTATTCAGGACTGAGCTTAACCGCGTGTGGGAGGCGCTGCCCAGAGTGCTCTGGGCTACACGGCTGCTCCCTGCCCACACGGGGCTTCCTGGCATCTGGCACCGCTGGATCCCAGAAGCGTTTCCATCGCATACTTTCAGGAATCTGCCGTGGTGGGACGGAGTTCTTCCAGCGTTCTCCAGCTCTACGTCCACCACGGTGAGGTCACCGCGGGCGCTGTGGCTGTGGCCCTGCCAAGAATCACAGAGTCGCTGATCTTAGGAAAGACCTGACATCATCGAGTCCAACTTGTGACTGATCCCCCCGCGTTGTTAACCAGACCAAAGCACTGAGTGCCATATCCATCCTTTCCTTAAACATCTCCGGGGATAGCTACTCCACGGGCAATCCCTCCCGATGTCTGGCCACCCTTTCTGTGAAGAAATTCTTTCTGACGTCCAACCTAAACCTCGCCTGGCACAGTCTAAGACTGTCCTCTCGTCCTGTCCTTGCTTCCCTGGGAGCAGAGCTGGTCACTACCCGGCTGCACCCTTCCGTCAGGGAGCTGTATGAAGGGGGTTGAAAAGATCCCTCCTCACTCAGGACGCGAACACCGGCCCCGGCCGAGGCTGCCTATGTACAGACCGAGATAGGGCGCTGGTGCCTCACCTGCCCTCGGCCCGCGGGTGCCCGAGAGATCGCGGCCATCCGGGAGGGGACGAGACAGAGATGAACGGGGCAAGACGGCCGGGACGGGGCGGGACAGGGTCGGAGAGCACGGCATCGAGTCCGCCCGGCCCGAGGAGGCGGTGCGCGGCCGTGTCCTGGCCCAGTATCCCGCCCACTCATTGGCTCCGCGCGAGCGACGGAGCCGCCAGCCAATCGCAAGCAGGTTTACAGCCGCCGGCACTGGACGCCCCGACTGCAAGCCCCAGCGTGCACCGCGGTCCATAAATGGGGATTTTTATGAACCCGCGATTTGCTAATTATTGGAGCGAGTTGGGAATTGATCCAGTTGTTCAGCAGGATTTGCGCTAAGACCCCTGACTGAAATACCATATTGTAGGCTATTACCTGCCCTTTGTACTTGCGTGTCATTTCCAGGGACTTGGTGAAACTTGTACTTCGTGTGTCACAGTGAAATTTGGCATTAGGTATCTAACATCATTGTATAGTTGTAATACAATTATATAGCTATTGAACTTATGCCATGGATAATTTTTATTTTGCCTAGTTTTTTGTTTTTCTGGGATAATTTTCTAGTACTTTCTAGTGTTATTATTCTGTAAGGCAGTTCCTAGGACTTGAGTTTAAGGTTCTTAAAAACTTTCCCTTTGTATCTCTAAAGCCTTGTCTGACAGTTATGCGCACCTATATACTCCGATTATATATTTTGATTATAATGCCAGATAAGACTTACGAAATAAAAATTGATAATGAAATGCATCTGGCAACCCGCAAGATGATTTAGATTGCTTACCACTGAGGAAAATTAATGATAAAAGAAGCCCACGGACTGGGATGATTGAATCTGAATTTCTGATTGAAATTACATCAAACCTGAGGCCGGGCCGGGCTGTCCTTATTCTGTGTTAGTGTATTATTTAATTTCTTTTTAATATTGTTGAATTATGCACTGGGTTTTCCCTTTGACAGTTCTGAAATAGACATACAAAGTGCCTGGATGCTGTCTTAATAATTTATTTTTTTAATTAATTAATTAATTAATTTTCCCTAATGCCGTGAGGGAAATGAATTGGAAACAACGAATGACGTGCCTGATTTTTCTGTCTGGCCTGTCTTTTACCTCCATTTTGTAACTTTTTCAGTAATTTCCTTCAATCTTTTCTCAAGTCCTTCTTGTTTTCTGCACTTCCTTCCTCCCACAAGAACTAAGGCTTCAAATTTAGAAAAAAAATTTACGCAGACTTCAGAGCCCAGGGCTCTGCATTTACCTCTGGACGCCGGCTGAGAGGATTTTGTATGCTGAGGAGAAAGGAAGAGGTGGGAATCCCTGGAAGCCCCGACGTCAGCTGTGCCGCTTTATAGTCTGTTGACTGAGTGAGGTCAAATTTTTCTTTTCAGCCCCAAGCACTGCAAAACAATTCCAGTGACGGTCTGGGGTGCAGAACTTTTAAAGCTCTGAAATACGACGGTTGCCCTGCACCTTTTTTTCCTAAATGGATTTAACTTTTATGTGATCGCAGTGGTCCAGCCTCGGTCAGGCTGCTGCTCAGGATTTATACTCTGCAATCAGGGGCTTGTTAACTTTGATGCGTTTGATGCCGAAAATTTGATCCTAGACCAGAAGAAGCTTCACTGGGGATGAAGGACCTCCAGTGGATGAAGGCTGCTTTGACAGGTTTTAGAGATACAAAGTTGATCTAGGACTGGAGCGTCTCTCTGCCGGCGAAGGGCTGAGAGAGCTGGGTCTGTTCAGCCTTGAGAGGAGGCGCCGAGAGAGGACCTCACCCCCTGTCTGTCAGTGTCTTCAGGGAGGGGTCAGAGCGTGGCCGGGCTCTGCTCCGCGGGCCCCAAGAATGGGACAACAGGCAGCAGGCAGAAGCTGATGCCCAAAAAGTTCCACCCGAGTATGAGGAAGAACTTCTTTTCTTTTCTGTGCGGTGACTGAGCACTGGAACAGACTGCAGTCTCTCACTGAAGATATTCCAGAACTGTGTCGACGCAATCCTGTGCCTTGTGCTCTGGGATGGCCCTGCTGGACAGGGACGTGGGACTTGGTGGCCCACTGTGGTCCGTTCCGTTTTGGGATTATGTGACTGCCCAGGGAGGTGGTGGTGAAGTTCCCATCCCTGGAGGTGTTTTAAGGAGCGACGGGACTTGGCACTCAGTGCCCTGATCTGGCTGACAAAGTGGCGATAGGTCAAAGGTTGGACTCAATGGGTTCTAAATGATGCTAAATAATTTAGATTTATTACCCATCAAATGGATTCTAAATGCATTCGAAATGATTCAGTGACTCTGTGGACCGCTGCGGGCAGCGGGAACTGCCGTCGGCGAGCGCCTGCCGGGCCCCGACAAAACCGCGGCCGCTCACCGGCGGGTATCGTTCGGGCACCTCGTCAGCGGCCGCCACCGCCTCCTCGGGCCCGCCCGGCCCGGCCGTGCCGCCGCCTCCCGCCTCTCGCTCCGCCCCGGCCGCGGCCCGACCCAGCGGGAGGAAGATGGCGGCGCTCATCCCCCTCAGCCAGCAGGTACCGGACTGCTTGGGGACGCGCGGCCCTCCGCGCTGGCGGCCGCGCGGGCGCGGGGAGCGACAGCGGGGCTGCACCGTACGCCGGTGCAACCGGGCCGGGACTGGCGCTGAGTACAGGCTCTGTGCCGAGAGGGGCTCGGCCCGCGGGGAATGAGGGTCGGGGCGCGGCGGGAACGGGTCCCGGTTGAGGCAAGGGCGGCAAGCGGCCCCCGCCGTGCGCCGGGGCGGGTGCTGTTGGGGGGCCGCAAGCTGCGCCGGCGGCCTCCCCTCATGGAGGCCCTGGGACTGCGTCCCTGGGGAGGGGTTGAGGGTCTCCTGACGCTTCCCTACCCCGAGCCGCCGGGATTACCGTAGGCCAGAGGTTCGAAGGCAAGGGCCGGTGCTCCGCACGTCATCCCGTTTTCCTGCTCGTACCGGAGGGTTGATGCCGCCTGGAGCTGCTGAGCTGTTGTGACAGGATGTCGTGACTGTGTAGGGTGTTTAGGCGGTACGTGAGGAGCGCGGCCGTAGCGCGGGGACACCGGGAAGGGACTGAGGGATGAGCGGAAGGTGTTCTGTCAGAAGGAGGATGAGCTTCTGCGGGGCAGGGGACAGGGCACATATCCCTGACTCTTGGGAGAGGCTGTTTCCAGCTCTGGTCGAATGCTTGGGATCCTTGGGTTGATTTCTGGTGTTACAAGTTTTTTGATTGATTTCTTACCCAAATAATTCAAGCCTAAGCAATGTGATCGCTGTTTATGATTTTCCATAGCCCTGTGATGACAGTCAGTTTACTTATTTGCTTTAAAGCAAAAGAAAAGCAACACCACCCCACTACCTTCAGTGTCTTGAAATTAAAACTATTTTCTATGCTGTGCCTAGGCCAGTCAGGCATTCCAAATGACTCCTGTTAGTATTTGGGATTATTTAAATATGTTGACTTCCTTTTAATAATGATCTTTGAGTTGCAATTCTCTAAAAATTTATCTCTCAATGGAGTTATGTGATGCTTGGATGACATAACTTGCTGTGTGTCTTACTAAGAACATGTACTGCTGTTTAGCTTCTGTTTAGTAGCTGTCCCGATTAACAATCCGTTTGATTAAGTGAACGTATTCAGAAACATCTGGAATCGTCCATGTATGCACAAACTGTTACGAAAAATTTTCAAGCGGTTAATGTGGTGCAATATGTGCAAGTCAAACTCTGGATGTGAAAAGTTCTATAGTACTTTGGTAAAAATCAAATAATTAGTGCATACTTACTCTAGAAATCCAGTTTCTCTGTTGTTTAAATTCTCATTGATCTTTGAGAAATTGGCATCAGTGGTATTCCTTTTGATAGAATATGTTATGTTTGGGGGGATAAAGGACCACGTTCTGTAAACACATCAGGTATTTTTATAGTATTTTCCAACTAATTCAGTGGAAGCATTGTAGTTCTAAAACTTGTTTTCCTATATTGAACTGTCGAGAGTAATCTAGCTATAATCGGGGCAGAAAACAGTATTTCCTTTACAGTAATAAAGTTCCTCTTTTAATAGCCTCAGTTTTGTGATTACTGAGGAGATGTGTGTTAGAGTAAATGCCAGAAATGGAATTAGACAGAATAGGAGAGGGTACGTGTGCTGTACTGTTGAGGCACGTCCACTCAGAAAGATACAAAGTAAGACTGTTGATACCAACATATTAAGAGCTGCAAACAGCATGGGTAATTCAAGCAGATTAAAATATTTGATCATATTTTATCATTAATCATTTATCATAATAATAATTTCTTTAAAAGATTTAATGTGATCCAGAGCTCTTTGTGGTCCTGAGATGACCTCAGGAAAGAGAACTGTATTAATTGTTCTGGTGGCAGGCACTTACTCCTGCCTGTTTCCCAGACCTTCACTAAGGGACTTGGAGCAGTATCCATGTGTGTGCACTGCGTACCACAAACACAGCATAAGGATCTGCTGTGAGTGTGCAGGCTCAAGAATTGAACTTCTGAACAGGAAATCAACTTGGATTAAACAATGAGGCACTAGGGCTCCGAACAGTCTGTCTGGGAGACGGTCTAAAGTGTTGGTCAGAGGTGATGTTTTGGGGAGTATAGACCAGGCGCAGGAACCATGGGGTGGATAAACTGTTAGTCAAACTGAACCTCTCTAACAGGTTATGCTTTGACATCATCAACTTTGCGCTCTTCAAAATTTTTGTCTCTGTTGGCATTGACGATCTTGGGTTGGTCCTTCATCAGCAGATGTCAGTAAATTACAGAATCCACTTGAATGATAGTGATGTCATCACATATAGTGGTGGGTAGATAGACAGCTGTGCTATTTTTATCACTTGAACCCATTTTGCCTGGTCTGCTTCATCACAGAGATGCAGCCATTTAGGTAAATCGGTCAGAGAGACTGAATCTTTGTAAAATTCTGCAAGTAGAGAATCGATGCCAAAGTGCTTTCAAGCAGCGCTTGGGTGAGTAGTAGAAGAAATTTCACAGCATTGAAGCACATCACCCTGGCTTCCCACCACCTCTGCCAGGTAAGTCAGCTCCGCATCACGGCTGACAATATCAAATGAGGGTGACAGGAGTGTCTGGTGATGGGATGTGATCATTTAGTC